TGTGCGGATGCGATTTCGTAAAATTGCACAATTCGTAAACACACGATCTATATAGGTGTACCACCTCGTCGTGATGAGGCTCTTTATTCGAACGTATGACGCATTTGCGTTCCGAGAATTTAATAACAGCTCCCAGGAACAAAGAATGAGAAAAATAATGCTCGAAATGGTTTAAAGAATACCTGTAAAAGAATACCTGTCGAACCTTCACAATGATCTTGTGAAGGTTCGACAGGTATTCTTTTTATTCTTTAAAAAGTGACAAAAATCGATTTTCAAAGCAACAAATGTTCTCTTTGTGATTGTATACATTAATAATAATTAATGTAAAAATAGATTTACGAGCACCTTCAAAAGATAAATGCGAGAACAATTGCCACTTGTTAATTATTATGAAACTTTCTTTTTTTGTGTACATTATTTATTATGGAAACAAATTTTTCGAACAATATTTAGATCTATTTATTCTAAATAAAAAAAATTGCTTTTATTGATATTATTCTATTCTCGCCCGCTGAGCCTGCATGGTTTCATTTCTCTAAATTTCTTCAATGTGAAAAGAGAAAGCGAAAAAATGAACTAAGAAAGAAATTCAGGTATAAAAAAATATCCACAAAGAGTTCGAAAAATTTCATTGTCATATGTCACCAATTGTGAGAATTCTTTTTAGATCCAAAGATATATTCTTTTTTTAGACTTTTTTTATTTCTTAATTTTACAGAGTAAATTATAACTTTTTGTGCAAATTTTAAATTATTACTTTTATTAAAGACATATCTACAAATGTGCATATAAATATATTTCTATACATGTATATTTCTTTTTGAGTTTATTTCGAATAGATTGCGTTAATTCATAAAGAACTAAAGAAGATGAATATTTTTCAAGTTTAAATGGATCAGTTGTGTTATCTGAGTTGATTGTGTATCTTAAAATGCAAGGAAAATGAGTAAATTTATTTACAAAAAAAATGAATGAATTTATTAGATATTGTGAACAATGAAATTATAAATATTCGCTCGCTTTTGTAATTTTCGTTTCGTTTCAAAATACAGAATGCTTTCTATTTCAAGTCGACACAAATGTTGTTCTGTTTTTTGTTTGTTACTCACTTGAATGTCAAGAATGATAGAATTATGTTTGTGTCGACTTGTATCACTAAGATCCGATTGCACTAACACTATTTACTTTGACTTTAAACGAATCTCTCTCTCTCTCTCTTTCTCTCTCTCTCTCTCTCTCTCTCTCTCTCCCTCTCTCTCTCTCTCTCTCTCTCCCTCTCTCTCTCTAAATCCGAGAGAGAGAGAGAGAGAGAAAGAGAGAGTTTTAAGCCTCGCTTAAAGATAAAGTAACGTTGATGCATTGATCATTGTCTAAACGGAAAGTACCCAAAATTGACTACCTGGAATTAGGTTTCAAACGTTCGAATGCTCGATTCAAATCCGCCGCGTGGAAGCTTCATGGTTGGTGCGTGGGAGCGGCGACGCGCAAGGCGATTGGCTGAGAAGTTCACGTTCCCCTCTCCAGGCAATCGGCGTGGTTGCGACAGGAGTGATTCGGTTCGTTCCACGAATCGAGTTCTCGTCATCACTCGTCGTCACTCCGCGACCATCTGCGACGGCGACCGAGTCTTGAACGTCGTGCGACTCCGCGTACCCCGCTCGTGCCTGCTGGGCGGCCTGCTGTTTTCGCGTACGGCGTGCCAGGACTGCCAGATTCTATGTGTTGACATCCCGCGCGAGAGGAGACGCAAGAGTGATCCGGCGCGCCTGAATTACCCATCTCCCCAGTTCGTGTAAGTGAACAGCGACGCGACTGCAGACGATCACGATGTCCGCGATATTTGATATCGAGCTGCAGGATGCAGGACTGCCGCACAGGGACGAGTCGGAGGACGACGACATCATCGAGATCGACGCGGTAATTAAGGCTTCCCCGCCCTCCTTTATCTCCCGACGAGAATGGGAATCCCGATACCTCCGCCCGCGACAGCGGCACGTGTACCGTGTCAACCGTCATTCTAACGCCGCATCTGTTTTCCTTTTCGCAGGAGGAATGCGTCACGCTGAACGAGCATGAGATCGTAAGGTGAGTAGGACCTTATAGAACCTCTGCGCGCGTGTTCCGATCATGCCACGCGTTTACATGCGTCCCGCTTGTCATTTGGATCAATTTGGCTGGTCAATTTTTGATCAACTAATTTCGGGATATCAACTTTAAAATATCGGAATGACTCTGGATCCCCATTATTTAAATGTACTAATGAATTTCATGTATTTAATTTACGTTATGTGATAAATTAGGATAAATGGCGTTCTTTCGAGACGCTTCTATAGAGATCTGAAAATCGAGATATCCTGTAAAATTTGGGATCATTGGTTACCTACCTTGTCACTCTTCTCGTCAACGCTAAGAAATTATTCAATTTCTTTTGCTTATCGCTTCCAGCTCGTCTGACGTGGTGGAGACCGTAGCGATTTCGGAGCATAATGTCAATCGCACGCAGGAGAAGGTCGGACCGCAGGACTTTGAATTGTGCAAAGTTATTGGAAAAGGTGGCTACGGCAAAGTGTTTCAAGTGCGCAAAATAACGGGAAACGATACCGGCACGATCTTCGCTATGAAGGTACCGAAATCCTCATAACACAATTATTGCGTAAACTTGTAAAGTAATTTTTTATGTAAATGTGTTATGTTTGCTAAAATAATAAGCAGTGTGTGAAAAATACTTTCGATGAAGGATGATTACAGTAATATTGATAATCTAAGAATGTTATCTCACTGTTTATGTATTAATGTTCAAAAATTATGCTATGCTTTGCATTTCATTGTTTATAATTGTGTTTTTTATAATAAACAATATGCAGTTTACATAATTGTATTTCAAATTTTTATAAGTATATTATATAAGTATAATCAAATATTATGTAAGTATAGATATCAAGTATATATATATATATATATCAAAATTTAGCCTGGTCCATATTATTTGGTCTTCCTTTATTATTTGATTTGCATTTTTTCTTGATCAATAAATATTTTGTGATAAAAAAATTACACGAGTTTTGCCAACAAGCAATTTACAAGTTTATTTTAATTATCTTGTTATTTGCTAGCAATTTTACTTCAATTATTGTGAACTTAAAGTAATTAGTTTTTGCAGTTTTTATCTCTAGAATGATAATTATAAATTCTTAATCAGTATCTATTTTTATATTCTCCGCTGACAAACGTTTTTATTTATAACACTCTTTTCTTCAATCATTCAACATATTCTTTTGTCTTATTCGAAATAGGTATTGCGCAAGGCTTTGATTGTAAGAAATCAGAAAGATACAGCTCACACTAGAGCTGAAAGAAACATCTTGGAATCCATAAAGGTTAGTTATATTCGTATATGCTAAAATATTTGCAATAATTCGAATTCAACAAATAGTTAATATATATATATATAGATATACGTATATAATCTTAATAGTACGTATAAAAAAGATTCTTATAATTCCCGATTTTTTCAATAAAAATTAATATCTATTTTCTTCTATCTATATCTTTAAACAAAATATCAATTCATTTATTTATGCTTGCATCTGGCAGCATCCTTTTATCGTAGATCTCAAGTATGCCTTCCAAACTGGTCATAAATTATATTTGATATTGGAATATATGTGTGGTGGTGAATTGTTTCATCATTTAAATGACGAAGGAATTTTCATGGAAGATACTGCGCGGTGAGTGAAATCATGAAAATATCTAATTATATTTTTCAAAGCATTTTATATCATGTTATTTGTTTTGCAGTTTTTATTTATGCGAAATTACATTAGCTCTACAACATCTTCACTTGCAAGGAATTATATACAGGTATTATATTTTTCTTTATAAATCTCAACATCAAGAATTAAAATATAATTTAAGGCTTCAATATAATTGATATAAATATTAAACATTTGGTTTGTATGCGACATTCAGTTTATGACACTTGTAATGAATTGTTTCAGAGATTTGAAACCAGAAAATATTTTATTGGATGCAGATGGGCATATTAAGTTGACTGATTTTGGATTATGTAAAGAGCATATACAAGAGGGTGCTCTTACGCATACATTTTGCGGAACTATCGAATATATGTAAATATCATATATAAATATAGATTGCTAAGAAGTTTTATAATTACAATTTGTACTGATTGTTGTATTATTTTATTAAAGGGCACCTGAGATTTTAACGAGAAGTGGACACGGGAAAGCAGTAGATTGGTGGAGTCTGGGAAGTTTGACGTATGACATGCTTACAGGAGCAGTATGTATTGTCATTACGTATGAACTATATTCCGTTCATAATATGTTCGTGATACGAGCTCAAAGAATGCGTATATTAATTCACATTACTATTTGCTAAATTTTTAGCCACCATTTAGCTCAAACAGTAGGAAGAGAACTATCGACAGAATTCTACGTGGCAAATTAT